GCTGTGCTGGACCTGAAGTGTTTCCTGATGCCTCCTACGTCCGTGATGAGTCCTGTGTGCTCTGCAGTGCCTCTGCTGACTGGAGCAGGAGCACAGTTTTCAAGGAGCTCAAGACCCTTCAAGTGGTTATTGGGTTTAAATTAGATTTAACTTCAACTACGGTCATATTGAGTTAGTTTGAACACTGTTAATGAAACCAGGCTCCTAGAGCTACCTGTGTAGCTGGCGCTGTGTCTTGGCGATAGCAAGAGCGCTGCTTGTAATGGGACAGTCGCTTGTTTTCACCTTGCTTTTGAAACAAAGTCATGCCAATTTTTTTCCATTGATCCCTCTCAAAGGGAACACTGGAAGTGAGGGTTGTTGGCAGCAACCTTGAGCAAACTTCCTTACCTGCCAAGTGCCTGTTGCAGCTGAATTGCTTAATTGTAAGTTTTTTACTTTATCTGCAACAATCTTGAGTTACTAATCATCATACCTGTACTAGTCAGGTGCAGGTAAGAGTAATGGGTGGAAAGGTCTTCATTCACTTAGCAGGGGCACAAGAACTAGTCCCCTCAGTGAAGTGCAGGCTACTGGCTGTAAATGCAGGGGGTGGAGGTTAATGTTTTGCTTATTTGGAGTTGTGTAACCAGCAATAGAGCACCAAGACGGTGCTTAATCCAGTTGGAATTTTGTCTTGAGCAAGACATGAGAGGGGAAAAAAAAATGGCAGGGGAAGCTGGGAGCAGCCTGCCTCTGTCCCCTGGGATATTTTGGTGTGACATTTTGCATTACATTTTAGTGGACTGAGGTGCTAATTGTGTTGTAATTCAGACTTTTTACAGCATGAAATTATGAAGTAGAACATGAAAGATGAGACAGTTTCAGTACAGTTTATGTGGTCCTTGAAGACCCAATATGTTTGAAAGCTGTTGTTTATCCCATTTAAACCAACTGCTCTTCCGAAAACTTTGTGATTGCGTCGCTTTCACCTGTGTTAGGTCACATAGTAGATACTTATGCTTACCACTGATACTGGAATTATATATTATTATATACTGTTATATAATATGAAAGAAAGCAGCAGTGACATCTGTTTCCCAAATTCATGGAACATACCCTCCAAGACTGTTGCAATTCCTGCTGCTTTACATCCAACTTCACGTGTCCAAACTTTGTTTTTGGTTCTCATGAACTAGAAGGATTACAAATTTTGAGATGTCTGGGAAGTGGATAAGTGAAAACTCTAGTGCAGTTCACTTAAAATGTCCAAGATCATTTCACACTGCAGGATCTCAAAGACTGCAGGAATATGGATATTATAAACTTTTATCTTGGGCAATGAGAAAGCAAGGAAGTTTCTTCCAGCTTTAAGACAATGTCTTCTTTGTTTTCAGTGTTTAATGCCACTTCTTTAGAGCTGGCAGATACTGATAGGTGTCCTGTGCGTTCATTCTCTTCTGTTGCCATAGTAGTGAATGTGACATCAAAACTCAGGGTTCTGCAGCTTCCTAAGAGCAGTTGCACATTGAAAATGACACAGCAGCACTAACTTGCAGTTTGGGACCATGAGAGAAACAATGAGCAACAGGTAAACACTTGGTGGTGATCAAATGTTAGAAGTTGCTGCATTAGCTGATTTAAGTTTTGGAATTTTTTTGTTTGTTTTTTGGAGAATTACCAAAGTCTCTCACTGGCAGAAGTTTTTGCTCACTTTCTTTGGTAGAACTACTACTGCAACATCCTAAGACTTCAAAATTTCAGTATGTTACGTTTCACAAGTTTTAAGATTTCGTCCTGATAATTAGATAAAACTCTACTGAAAATTAGGTACTATATTTGGATGTTGAGATCAATCTGCCATGCATCTAAAATGTTGTAAAAGGTACTCAATGCCTAGGAAATTGCCAAAATGCTATCTTTTTTTACAAAAAAAAAGGTAAAATGCAAAATTCAGTGATGTAGAAAATGGTGAAGATGCACTTTTTTAGTCTTGGTTAGTGAAATGACTCGGGCCTTCACCTCCCTTAAAAACTGAAGTACCTGTTAGAAGATTGCTCAGATGAAGCCTGTGGTTTATCTCCAGTATTTTTTTTTGGCGTGTGAATGTGCAGCTTGCTCAGAAAAGCTGAGTGCAAGCGGAAATCCAGGGCTGTTCCCTGCGTTACACAAACAGGCATTTCAGCTCCAGCAAAGAAAGTCACAATAACGAAACAAGTCTTGCTTTTGCACAGAATGCAGAACTCCCTTCTCATTTATCATCATTTTGCTGAAATACATTTTACATATATATAAGTGTGTGTATATATATAAAATCAAGTTATGTTAATGACCTCATAATTAGAAGTTCTCTTGTTCAACTGCCAGTATTTTGTTGTTGTGGCTCAGATTTGGTTTCTGCTGTAAGGGTTCACAGCAGCAGAGCACCACAGTGAAGGCAGGTGTCCTCCTCCTAGTAATTAGGGTGTTTCTCAGGGGGATTCAACCCTACGGTGAGGCTGCAGAAGAGCTCAGGGTTTACAAGTTGATGCACAACGAAGTTGAGTAGTGGGTTAGATATCAGGGTTGAAAATGTTACTTGAGCTGCAGAGCACGGCACTGTCCTCTCCCGAGTGACTGCAAAACCACCTTCCTTTTCCACAGTGTGGCATTCTGCTCCTTCCCATTTAGAGATGGTGCAACTGAGAATCAGGTTTCTTTTAGACTCAGCAGAACTTTCCCCCCCAATACAAAACCTGTCTTAGAAATCAGGTGGAGGTTAAGGTGTCTGGGATAATTCTGAATTCAGAATTCTGTCTGGAATAACTTCTGAATTCAGAAGTGTCCTCCACTGCTCTCTCTGAAAGAAATCCTGCTCCACGTACGAGTTTGGGATTTCTTGAGTGTCACAAGCTGTGGTGCTGCTGTTCCTGGCTAGTGACAGGATCCCATTGTGCCATCCAGTGCAGCCTGGGCTTTGGGTGAAGGCCACAGAAAGGAGAAAAGATTTTAATTGTCCTAGAAACGGGAGCAGTTAATGGACCTTGGTGCTTTTCCAAATGTCGCTGGGAAAGGAGCAGCAAAAAAAAAAAGGGGGGGGGGGGGTCGGAATCCTGTCCTGTAATAAATAAGGGGGAGCTGGATTTTATGTCACAGAATAGAAATACATCTGGAATGTGCTACTAATAGTTCATGTATGTAAACAGTATCTGTTGTATAGTAAGAAGCACCGATGGGCAATGCTGGGTCTTAGAGAGTCCGTTCAGGTGGCAAGTAGCGTTTGTTGGGCCTGGGGTGTCTGTGGAGGCATTTTGGTCTGCCTATGCTCTGCCTAAATGCTTCTCCTAACAGGATTTGCTTCATGATGAAGAGTGACATGGATGTTGGCCGTGTTTGTGTGTTTCTGACAACTTCATTATGTAGTAATTTTGTTTATTTTTTTTTATTTAAAACAAACAGAACCTTACCTAAGAAAACTTATAAATAAGTCATACCTAGGGATGAAACTGCTTAGTTTATGAAAAACATTTTTATTGTTTTAATGCTACATGACACAACTAACTACTTGTATAAAACATTGTATTAAAAAAAAAAAAAAACAGGGTAAAAAGAACCTGGTGAATAAAACTCCGTCCAAACTATGGCAGATCCAAGGAGGAACCGATGTAATTACATCAGAGATGCGTTCAGTGTCCTTGGCAGCAGCATGAAGAGGAGACAGAGAAGGACGTTCCTCCATTCCCAGGTGCTGTTTAGGTAGTCTGGTGAAGAGGAAGGGGGATGTGGGAGGGCAAAGGGTATTTGGTGAAGCTGGAGGGTTTGGGGGTTGTTTTTTCCCAAAGGAGATGTCTTTCCAAGTACCATTTCCCAAGTACCATTCATATTTAAAAAACTGCTAAGCCAAACTGACATGGGGGTTGTAGAAGGCACACAAGCAGATCCATAGAGTGATTTCTGGAATACCAGTCATACCAGTCTTTCCTGCAAAAAGTCCCTGGGATCATGCTCTACTTTCTAAAATGCTTTCCAGCATTCTTGCTTTGATTTTGCTGGCCCTGAATGCAGATGGTTTTGTCAGCTTTAAGTCTGCAGGAAACCTCCGTGCCGATATCTTTGGTAGGAGAGGGCAGTACAGAGCTCCTCTGATTTACACGTGCTGCACCCAGCTCCGCTGCCGGCACTTAGAGCCAAGCTCTTTCCAGCTCTTTCCTCTCTGAAGGAGTTGGAGTTTCCACACGTTTTACCCAGAGCTGGGGGAGAAGGGGCTGACATGTTTATCAGAGGGGGACTGTGGTGAACGGGGCGGCTGTGAGACGTGACGCAGTTGCCGGTGGATGCCCAGTGAACTCGCCAAGAGGAGCAGATTTCCCCGCTGCCGGAGTGCCCGAGGACACGGCCGTGCCTCTGTGTGTACCCAGGCTCTGCCTCCTCTCAGCATGGCCACGAAGTCGGTGTGCAGGCCCTGTCTCCGTCTGAGGGGAAGGGCATCCATCAGAAAGTCTTCCTGGTGGTTGATCTGGGAGACGTTCTCATGGCCACCTGTCCCATGCATGGGACAGAACCAAGACGCTGCTGCGCGAACAGGAACACCAGCTAAGTACAGCGGGAAGCTGCCTTGGTAGTCGCATTGTGTGCTGGTCCTTTGGATGAGAGAAACACAAGATGTTCCTTGGTGATCTAGGTGACCAGACCAAAGGGGCTGGTGTTGGCAGCAGTCTAGTCTTTATCACAGCTGGAACAGAGCCTTCTTCATCATGACCCCTGGTCTCAGTGTTGTACCCATGATTGCACCTGTAATCCTGCACAAAATAACAATTTATCAGCAGTTCTCCAGGCCATGCACTAGCATCTGCTGCTTGTAAGGGATCAGTAGCTAATTTTGACTAGACTTTGGGGAGAATTAACCCCAAGCCCTGGAGTCATTAAGGGCTGTTCCTGCTCATCCAAATCAGGTGGCACTGCAGGTACCAGCACAGCTGGTTCCTCTCAGCTGGTTCCTCCCCAGAGGAACAGGGAATAGTGCAGGTTTTCTGACTAGTTTCTGTTTGGTTGTGAAAGCAGCTGGAGAAGCCAAAGAGAGAAAGTGACTGTCCTTGCCCAGGAGCAGAAGGTAAGAACATGGAAAAGGAGACATGTGGGTGGTGGGTGCAGCTGGGCTGGGGGAGAAGGGAGGTGGAAGGAGTCCTGGGACTATGGGGACCTCTTCCTTGCACCTCTTGGGGTGACAACCGGCCACTGGTTGCCCTTCTCCTCAGCTCTGCTGAGGCTGCACCTGGAGTACGGGGCCCAGTTCTGGGCTCCCTGGGACGAGAGGAATGTGGAGCTTCTAGAGAGGGTCCAGTGGAGAGTGACAAAGATGATAAAGGGACTGCAGCATCTCTCATATGAGGAAAGACTAAGCAAGCTGGCCTTGTTTAGCCTGGAGAAGAAAAGGCTGAGAGGGGATCTGATCAATATGTTTAAGTACCTGAAGGGAGAACGTAGGGAGGAAGAGGCCAAACTCTTCCCAGTGGTGGCCAGTGACAGGATAAGGGGTAATGGGTGTAAGTTGAAACCAAGGAAGTTCCATCTCCATGTGAGGAGGAACTTTCCTGTGACAGAGCCTTGGAACAGGCTGTCCAGGGAGGCTGTGGAGTCTCCTTCTCTGGAGATTTTCCAAACCTCCCTGGATGCCGCCCTGTGCTCTGGGTGTCCCTGCCGGAGCAGGAAGGTTGGACTAGAGGTTGGAAGAGGTCCCTTCCAACCCCAATCATTCCGTGGTTCTGTGGTGCCACATTGAGACTTGCTGAGCCTTCAAGGCTCATCTTCAATTTGATCTAAAATAATGGCATCATAATAGTATCTATCTTCTTTGTGCAGGGAGATATAAGGAAGGCAGCTATTAAAGAAGGAAATAATGGGAAGAACAGGAATTTGCTTTGAAAAAGTAAAACCATCGAATTTAGGTTCTAACTAGATTGGCTTCTTTTTCTGAGAGAGGGGAGGGGAACAGTGGAGTAGCCTTCAGTGGTGCGAGTGCCCTGTGTTTGCTAAGACACCGTCCTTCTGAGCTGCGCTTGTCATGTACATCTGAAAAAACACTATTCCCTGTATTTAAAAGCAGCTAAGCTGCCTGTCTTAGTGTTAATAAGGAAGGCTGACAGCGCGAAGTCAGTCGTTGAAACCACATGTGATAGATGACACACAGGAGACAGGCTTAGAACCAAACTATTGATCCGAAAGGTGGCAGAACATCAAGCGCACAAATAGAAGGAGGAAACACCTTTGAGTGCCTTAAGTCAAAGATGGAGATTTTTCCTCTGGAGTTCTTCCCTTGGTCCTATTTGGAAAAGCATCTAAAATGATTTTGGTGGTTGTGAGCCTCTTCTGTGAGGGCAAGTCCCAGAGAAGCGCAAGGGAAGGGAAGGGGAGAAACGTACAGTGATGGGGAGGGACTCGGAACGTTTTCCGTCCGTCTGGAGGTTGGCAGTGAAATGGGGCTGTGGGAAAGGAACCCGGGAGCGGCGAGTCCCCGTCCGCCGGAACGTTTCCCGAGCAGCCCGTGCGGCCGCTCCTGGCGCGGCCGCTCCGTCTCCCTGCAGGCCGCTCCGTCTCCCTGCAGGCCCCGCCGCGCGGCCCGGCGGCCGAGAGCGGCCTGGCGCCCCGGCAGCGGCACGAGGCCCTTCCACGGGAGCGGGCTGCCCCCTCGCTGGCCTTGCTCCCATCTTCCCGGGGCAAAAGCCCAGAGCCCGGGCGCTGAGGGAGCCGCAGGTGCGGGAAGAGGGGGCGGAGGTCAGGCCGGTGCCTGTAGAGGCTGGGAGGCCACGGGAGCGGGATGGAGGCCGTGGGAGTGGGATGGAGCCAGGGAGGACGTGTGAGCAGGATGGTAACTGTGGGAATGGGATGGAGCCCGAGAGGCTGTGGGAGCGGGATGGAGGCTGCGGAGCTGCAGGCGCAGCCGAGGGGGTGCCGGGCGGCCATGACCCGTGCCGGGAGAGGGGAGGTTTTTATTTTTTTTGCTTTGTTTTTAACCAGAATCTTGACACAGACTTTGTGGGGGATTAACGAGCCTCCCTAACACAGGGGTTGCTTCTGTGTCTGGGTAGCTTATCCATAGGGCAACATCCCTAACGTGCTTTCCTGCCCTCTTCCTGTTTTAGTAGACGATCAGGAAATGAAGGATTCTGTTAAAAGTGCAGACTGCATAGAAAGGCTGGCACGGAAGTACATGGTAACTGCTACGTTTTTTTGTCTTTTCCTAATTGCTGCTTCTGTATCTCCACATTCAAGCACACTCTAGATAAAGTTAGGATTAACTGGGTTATTATTGGCCAATGGGGGTGGAAGACAAGGCATGAGGAGCACATGTGAATACATTGGTTCAATTGGCATCACCTGCAAAGAAAGGGAAAGGGGAAGGTTGTTCTATTTTTGTGCCACCACCTGCAGAATAAAGGTGGCTTTTCTGTTTCTTTTATTCTGTTGCTTGTAAGATCTCTATAGCAAGATGCTGAGAAAACCAAGGGTGCAGCTTTAGTGCTTTGTCTGCAATTACGTTTGAGATGTACAATTTTATCAAAAAAATCAATGCAGTTCAAAATGCATTTCTGCAAATTGTTTTTGAAGCTGGAATAAGTGTTCCCAGTAAATGCAGTAGATGTTCTGAATAGCTTCCCACTGGGCTTTGTTCACAGTGGAGGGAGGAGGAATAAGGGAGATTCTTATTTATTCTTGTCTAACTGGCATCACAAATAAGATAGTTTAATTTACGTTTACCTGAGTGGTTCTTTCCCTTCCTCCTCCGCAGCAGAGGTGCACAGTAGAGTCGAGCACAGAGTCCGAGCCCGAGTCCGGCGCTGAGGTGAGGCCTGGGGCCCTGCGCCCTGGCTAGCGCGGCGGGCGGGGAAGCAGCGGCGCTTGGGGGGCCGCCGCGCGCCCCTCGTGTCGCTGCGTTTGCCCGAAGGGAACGGGGTTGCTTCGGGCGGGTGTTTAACCCGAAGCAGTTGAGCTGGGGGGCAGCCGGGCTCCCGCGGCGCTGCTTTGATAAACTTGGATGCTTCTTTCTGCTGGCTTTTTCAACAATCTGCCTTTTTCTCCTCCAAGACATTGTAGGCTCTGGTTTTACTTTAAGTAATTAGCAGGAAGATGTGTTACAAGCCACTCTGCACTTCTCTTGAACAGGTCTCAACTGGAGGACTCAAGAAAGTGAGGAATGCCAAGGGGAAGCAAGTAGGTTGAGAACTTCAGTGATTGTTTAGCAGCCTGGCTCTCCACTTACCCACTCTGTATGTTAGTTTTTGGGTGGTATGTGTGGATAAACAGAGCTTAAATAGTAAGTCTGTATATTATTAAATCTTAGAGTGGAGAGTCGAGTGTGTCATCTGCAGACACACAGTCATCCAAGCTATTTATTTTAGTTTCTAGATCCTTATGATGGCGACTCAGAAGACGCGGCCGCTCACTCCGACTGCAGCTTGAATTCCTGGGATCCGCTCCGAGTGGCGCGCGGGGCGGGCAGAGCCCCCACAGTGGCCGCCGTGGAGGACGCGGAGCCCTCGGAAGGGTTTTTGCCTTCACGCTGGTGCTGCCTGGGAGCAGAAAGTCATGGCCGGAGCCTCAATGCCTGCAATGCATTCATGGAACTTCCCAGCCGAGAGAAGGATGATCCGAGACCCCCGTTACAGCCCTTGGTGCTGATGGGAGCCGCAGAGGCTCCCGGCTCCGTGTGGCCGACCCCAAACCCCCCGTCCCTGGGGAGCGACGGTCCCTGGGCGGCCCTGCAGCCCATGCAGGAGGGCTGTGACCCCACGGGCAAGGAGCCGCTCGCTAAAAGGAAACAAGGGCTTCCTTGGCCAGAAGGTGCTGCTGAGAAACAGCGGAAGAAATTGCGTGCGACTTAATCCGAGGTAGGAATAAAGCAGAGCAGGCAAAACCATGCGAAAGAGTGAAGCAGTTATAGCTCCTCTTTTGCAGACAGTATGGAGCCAGTTTGCCTAAAGCTTGCTCAAGTCTGATACAAATGCAGCTGTGCTGTGTTGCTGTCCATCCAAAAAGATGGATTCAGCTACATGGAGTTTCAGGGGTGATTTTAAGTGGAAAAATCAGTTAAGGTGCCTCCTTGAAGCCATAGCCAAGCTTAACCCCTGGAGGCTGCTTTGATGTTTGTACTTCCAGATTCATGTAACACGTGGTGGCACCTCTCTTATTTTGGTACAATTTTCACATGTCTTAGAAGGGTGTGCTGGGAGGCAAGAATGCCTGAAGTTCTGCAATTAATTTTTTATAGTTGCAGCTTTCTTTTTTACTGTGTGTTTCCTGAACCCTGCCCCTCAGCTGCTTCACCCCAGTGAGTTCTTCATTTGTCTGACGGGAACAAAGTAGCTGCATCGTGAAGGAGCCCAGAGGTCGGACTACACAGCATTAAATTGCACAGCTGGAGCCAGGACACTCTGGCTTTCTTCCCCTTCTCCCTTCAAAGCTTCTGCTGTTAACAGATCTGCTCTGGCAAAGCAGAGGTTCTCAGCATATCTACCCCTCTGGAATTCACAGTGTCCAAGCTAATGCCCTAGCTGGAGGTGTCTGCTCTCCTGGAGGAGAAGAGCTGTGTCAAAGCTGTGAGGTGGCACACACGGACGGGAGAGCAGGTGCTCAACAAAAATAGTAAGAAATAAGTGAGGTCTCCAGCCAGCTGAGTGGGCTCCTGCATGGGGCACGGCAGCTACTCTTTACAATAGTAAAATGATTGTGTGGAATGGGTTTGTACAGCCCTGGACTCTGTTTGACAGAGATACATAACTGTCTCTTTAAATACTAATGAAGAGGGCAAGACATGTAGTACTATTTAACTCCTAGCTTGTACTGTACCAGCATTTCTCTATTTCTTTTGCTACGGAAGCCTCTTGCCCAGTTAAGAAGCAGGCACTTCTTAATCCATTAGGCAACTAAGTAATGTTAAGTTGAGACTAGTGTTTAGCCATGGCCTGTATGGGAAACCCAACCTGCCACTGCTGGAAGATGGTGGTGAGGTTCACTGCCTAGGAACCCTGCTAACTGCACCCAAATATTGCAACAGGATCAGAGCTCTGCCCAAATTAGCCCTTGCATTAACACAGCTGTGAAAATACTGCGTACCCAAGAGGCCTTTAGCTGCCTGTCGGGGAAGCTCCATCACTTGGGGTTTTAGCTGCTGCCCCAGGGGATGGTCCTTTTACCATCTCATCTGACATAACCCTGAACTGCCACCCCAGGAGAGCCCCGAACTCGCTAGGAGACATTTTTAATTAGTTTTGTTACTCTGTCTACTGAGATAAACAGTATGAAAAATAATAGAAAATCAGGACAGAAATAAGTAAAACAGTCACAGGGGACAGTGTTTACTCAGTCCTACTTGTTCAGTCTGTGAATTTAACTCTTAAATAGCACTTAAAAAACATGTTTCAGTAATTGAAACACGTTAACGTAGAAGGAGCTGACTCTAGTGCTGGGGTTTGTTATGCGAGTAGTTGGTTTGTTTCTTTGTTTTACCAAGTAAAAAGCACAGATAAGGCAGCCTGAGTCTCCTCCCTAGTATTTACAAATGGATGGAGTTGTCAGGCACCAGATTTGCAGGAGCCGTAAAAGCTGTTACCCCTGGCCAGCTGCTGAGCTCTGCCTACAGGGGAGTTACTGGATGCTTCAGCTGAAGTTTAACTGAGATGCTAACAGCTGCTGTGCTGAAGTTAGCTCTTGAGAGTGTGAATTATTAGCTCTAATACATCCAAACTGCACTCCCTACAATCCTGGAGGGTGTCATCTGCTTCCTTCCCATACAGCACTGGTGGGTGAGCCTGGGAGGGCCAGGCTGGGCTGCTTGGCAGCTCTTCGTACTGCACGAGGTGGTCAGAAGAGATAGGAAAAAAGCACTTGGTGCTATTTTAATAGGTTCCCACTTGACATCGCTTAGCTTAAACTGAAGCCTCATTGTACCCTAATATAATCACAGGAAAAAGAAATTCCTCTGTTAGATACCACAAGACAGTCTCCTTAGGAATGCTCTAGCTTCTGAGTGCAGCCCAGCAGTTGTGTGTATGCAGCTGGTGTCAAGCAAGAACTTGCTTTTGTTTTATTCTTCTATACTTTAGCATCCGGCTCTTAACTACAAAAAGAAATTCCAACCAGAACCCCTTCCGTTGATTCAACAGAATTCTGACATTATAGCAAGTCATTTCATGCTTTATGTCCTGTTAAAGGCTGCTTCAAGATTCTTCTACCCTTTCGGTAAAAGACTGGTTGCTACTTGGAATTAGGTGAACGAGCTGCTTGAACGGTGCAAAGGAACAGTCACAGAGTGTTGCTATAGATTTTATTTTAGGTGATATGATCCATCAAATATAGCACATGCCAAGAGCCATCCACAAATCTCATCCATTTTTCCTTCAAACACGTTTGTCTATTGGATTTTTCTCTATGCTTCTCTTTCTCGCTACTCGACTTGACACAAATCCACCTGACAACCTGACTGTATCACATACACTGTCCTGGGGACTACAGAGACTGACAAGTACTACAGTGTTACGAGTTACAAAGCTAATGTCACTACTCGGTGCAGAGAACTGCAACCCCACGTTCGTAGAAGCTACGAGGATCTTCCTTGGTCGCTATTTCAAAGTCAACTGTGAAAATCAGGTCAGCACGAGTGAAGTTCAGATAAACGGGTAACGTGACCTGCAGAGAACACACAGATACAGAAGAAAGGTTAGGGGAGGCAGCTGCAACGAGCAGGAGGCACCGCTAGCACGGGGTGGTATTTATGAGGTAGGAATTGTGTTCAGGTAATTCAACAGCCAGAAGAAGTGCCTGATACAACACAGAAATCGGGCCCAATGAGTTTCTTAAAGCAGAGTATTCTTTCTATATACAAACTTCAAGTTTTGGGCAGAGTGAGTATTATTGAATGCCTCTCCTTCTTACTTAACTGCAGAGGCAAGAAGAACTAGTCAATACTGTGTCTGTTTGCAGCTGAGTCTAGAATTTACTCATTTGTTCTGAGAACAGCAGAGATGAGCAATTTTGCGGTGAAGACAAGAGCAAGTTGCTGCAACACAGCAGGGAATCAGAAAACAAACGAGAGTCTCAAACCCTTACATGTGGCTTTTCTAGCAGATTTCTATCTAGGCTTTTGTTTTGTCTGTTCATTGATCTCAGCACTTACCACATTTGCTTTTTTATCAGCATTTGTCTGTTTGATCCAGCGAAGCTGCGTTATGGGCAGGACAGTTGAAATAGCATTTGAGAGAGACAGCTTGTTATTACTGCAGGTCGCTCCCTGAAGCTTCAGGCCTGTAAATCGGGATATGCTTTAGTTTTAAGAGCTTCCATACATTCAGGCAAAGCAAGTCACTGTGGCAGTGATCATTAACCGAGCTAGTAATGTTGTCCATCCAAACTGGGAACCTACCAGTCAGGCTTACTGCTGTCTAAGCCCACTAAGTGGGACACAGGGTATTTGATGTCCCAAAACAGGGAAGTTTGCAGATGGACTATCCACTATGGCTTAAATCTGTGCTGATTGACTCTGGAGCTTGTTTTGTTAGCATTGCCAGTACTTCCCTACTAACTAATATCAAACTAATTTAAAACAACTTAGAGTGTGACCTTTTCCAGAGAGGCAATCTTTCTCAGTGGCTGTTGTCCATGTTAACAGCAGGGATTTCTGGAAGTGCTTTAGAGCAACAACCTGTTTCTTTGCGCCACACGTCACCTGTGACTCCGAAGCTGCAGGCGTCCAGCACCGCGTTCTGTGTCGTCGTGACGTTCACCTCCAGACAGAGTTCTTCAAGGGACCAGCTGTTTGCCTGGGCAACGTACTGCCTCGTGGCAGTAATATAGGCCTCTGGTACAAACAGGCCACCCAGGCACACGTGGATGTTCTAATACAAAGCGGAGGCAGGGAAAAAAAATTAAAAGTTATCAGCTGCTTTAGCACGTGTGGCTGCAGCTTCCAAATACAGTCAGCGTTAGTTTAATTTCTAAGTTATTAGGTCTTACTATTAACTTACTTATTCAGAAATCTAAGTTTGCACAAACATGTCTCCTGTTGCTCTCAGTATGCCTCCCCATTGCTAAACGGCTTTCTCCTCTAGGGCTGCTCTGCTGTTTTACAATACTTAGTTTCCCCTCTCTGCACATGAACTCTTAGCCTGCTAAGCTCCAGCTTTCCGAGATCAGGAGAGACTCAACAATCCTGACAAGCACAGTTCAGAGAATTTTGATTACAGCAATTCTGCCTGAGAAACTCTGTAGAAATCTTTTGACATGGAGCAACCCCTTAAGGTACTTATATGAGTCCACCTGAACTCAACCACCACCCCGAGGTGAACTTGGCTCACGGTACCTTTAGTTCTTTTGCTCCCCCGGAAGCGGCGGCCTGGGAAATGTTCTGCAGCTGCTTAATGCGCTCACTGAAGTCGGACACCCACTGGATAACAGTCATTCCAGCTGGCACTGTGTAATGAGACCAGCTACGAGGCAAAATACCTATAAGGAACATGATCAAAGTTAAGTTTGGTTTGCATGCAAGCCTCTCAATAGCCATTTCCATCCTGGACAAGGATATCAGTTACAAAAACCTTCCCAGCGAGTGGGAGCACTTTTCAGTATTGCAAAGCCCCAGGTTTAGTATTTATATAAAATGCCACCCACTTATAAAAGCCCTTTAATAGCAACATCAGTTAAACACAACTCTATGCTGCCGTAACTGACCTTCAAGTTTCCTTACAGGTTTGAGCCCTTTAGAAAAAGGTCATGGTAATGTTTTAGAAAATATTCTGTTCAAAGCTGGCTTCAGAATGGTATTTATTAAGAGCAGATCTTAATGTTACTAGAAATAGGATGTCTATGTAACATTCCTTCTACATAGAAAAAAAATCCTCGTTCACTATGGTCTTGCTATAGCAGAGTTTTACAAAGCTTGGATATTTGCTGGATTTGATATAATTTGCTTTGTGATACTTTGTGATTGGCTTTCTGTTGACTTAAACAGTATAAACAAGTCTAATACCTAGCACAACTTGAAATCCTAAACCAAACCATCTGGATTTTTCTTAGACTTGACTCAAAAAGGTTGCTCTTCCCAAACGGTAAAGTCAAGTCTGATTTTCTGGCTTAAAATAGTAAATATAAGAGCCTTTAATCTTCAAAGTGCTAAAGAGAAATGGAATAAGGGGAGGTGCTGGTCTGATCTCCTTTACCTTTCACCAGTTCATTTATGAGTGTCCGTAAGTAGTTGGTTTGTTTCTTTTTCCCTTCACACACTTGAACCACATCGGCAAGGTCCTGCCGGACGTCCTGAAGCAGCTTGGCTCCCATCTTCACTTCTCTCTCAAAGAAGCGGAACAAGGGATCCTGATTTGCAGAACAACCAAAGTCAGCGGCAGGTCAGAGTAAAAAACACTCTCTTGCTACAAAAAGCTACCCAGGGCAGTTTCATTGATACGTGCGCTCACAAGGCACTTGGTCCAATGCACTGGAACTTGTGCACTTAACAAGTCCACATTAGACAAAGCTTGGTTCTTACCTTGATGTTTTCCACAGTCCGCTTCAAATGATGGAGAGTTTGTGGGATGAGGTGAAGCCAGTTCGAGGCCGTGGTATGTAGGGTTCTCATCCAGGCTGGGCGACCATCGGATGTGGAGTCGGTTCTTGCCTTCTTCTCTGTTTCTGCGTAGGCTAGATCATCCTCATCCTCCAGCATCTGCATTTTCAGCATTTTACTAATCATATCAATGCCTAAAGCAGAAGATAAGGTGTTAGCTAGAGCAGTGGGATCAAGATAAAAACATCCTAGAACCACATGCAAGAACCAATCTAGACCCAAGATGTCCAACTGCAGGAAGGCCTGGAGTTAACAAAAACTTTCCAGCATCAAGATAGGATCTTGACACATATAAGGCTGCTCGTAGCCACATCTTGAATGCACAAGTTTCTGGGCAGTTTAGGTGTTTACTTGGCAGAGATTAAACCATACATGTTGAGGGAGGAGGAGGGGGCTATCAATTCTTCAGTGGGATTTAATGCCTCATCTGTTCTTTAGTCTTAACAAAACCTCATGTAATTAACACGTAGCCAGGCTACGCTGTGGTTGTACCTTGAGTGGTGAGAAGAACCTTCT